GCTGCAGAAGAGGTGTTGTGTTGGGGGGGAGGATGGCACTTCTCTTTTTGAACTTTTGAAAACACCCCCTGTTGGCTTTGAATTCTTCTTGTGCTGCACTTCTGGAGGGGTTTCTTTCCATTAAGTCACTGTGCAGCTTCTTCGCTTTTTCACAAATGATGGATTCACTGATGCTTTCCCCTTTCAGCTGTTTCTCATTCATTCACACCAGCAAAAGTTTTTCCACTTCTTCCATCAGCACAGACCTCCTCATGGGGGAGGGGGGAGACTTGAGTCTACAGTAAACTCCATTTTAAAGCCTGCCTGCCTGCCTGCCTGCATCAACAAGCACCACAGCCCCTCACAGAATATTTTCTGATTTTAAAACAGACTTTGGAGCCACATTTTAAACACACACATTTCAAAACTAAAGAGAGGTCATAGTACACAAACCCTAGAAGCCACAGAATCTAGCAACCATTATTTCAGCACAGAACTCCTCATCACAATTACCCCCCCCAGAGAGGGAGAGAAAATACGATTGGGGGGAGAGACATGAGCCTACAGTAAACTCAATTTTAAAGCCTGCCTGCCTGCATCAACCACAGCTCCTCACAGAATATTTTCTGATTTAAAAAGAGACAGACCTTGGAGCCACATTTTAAACACACACATTTTGTACACAAACCCTAGAAGCCACAGAATGCAAAAATAAATACTGTACTGTAAATAAATTTTACATTTTAAAATTATTGTACACTCTAATTTTCACATTTAATTTTAATTTAATATTTAATAAATCCACACTGCAAGACTTATCAAAGCACAAAAACATAACCCCCACCTAACCTTACCCCCCCCACTAAGCTGCAAAAGACCCCTGTACAGTAAATACAGTGTACTCAGCCAGAACAGGGAGTCTCTCTGTTTTAAAAAAGAAAGTCAAAATTCCAAAAATTTTTAAAAAGCCAAAAAAAAAACCAAACACTCCGTACAGTTACAGTACCAGGCAGTCTGAAGACTCCGTATCCATTCTCTAACCGCTTGGACGGGGGAGGTAGCAGACAACCAGCCTCTTAGCTGGCCAACGGTTAACTGAAAGTTGAAATTTCATGCTTTCCGCGCGTCTCCCATGATTTGTTTTGTTTTTATCCATAAGTCGAATTTACATGAAAATTTCGACTTACAAAAAGCTCTGGCCACAAAAATTTTGCTTTGACTTACAGCCGGAGCTTTTATTTATTTATTTATTTATTGGACTTATATACCGCCCCATAGCGCTACAAGCCCTCTCCGGGCGGTTTACAATTTTAATTATACAGGCTACACATTGCCCCCCCCCCCAGCAAGCTGGGTACTCATTTTACCAACCTCGGAAGGATGGAAGGCTGAGTCAACCTTGAGCCGGCTACCTGAGATTTGAACCCCAGGTCGTGAGCACAGTTTTAGCTGCAGTACAACGTTTTAACCACTGCGCCACGAGGCTCATTTTCATAAGTCGAAATTTTCATAAGTAGACATGTTCCTAAGTCAAGGCACCACTGTATATGCATCACATGGAAATGACAGAATAAATTGATACAGTTGGACAAATCAGCAACACTTTGCTTAAATGCATCCCTCCTATGATGATCGTCTCATTTCCCTTACATTTGCTCAAACTCCAAACATTTTGGGATGTCATTAATATTTTACAGTGCTAACAGATCACCAGCATTTGGATGTGACAGCATTGAGTACTATTTTGAACAGCAGGATCCCCCAGCAGTTTCGTGTTAGAGCTAAACTGAGAAGATATGAACCAGTGAAGCTCCATCAGTCTGTTAAACTTCACTGTCCCAAGTGCAATTTATTGTAAGTTCCCTTTCTTGTAATTTGTGTTGTATGAAAGATGTTGCTTACAGACCATTGTCCCACTGAATTTTTGGATTCCTTACATCCTAAAATGTACAGCATTGTTGTGGGTGTTATTATATTCTTGTTATTTTACATTGCATATATTATTTTTATATGTGTTATTGCTTAGAATAAATATTAGATCCTTGTCATCTAAATAGAGGTTAAATGCCTTTCTAGGTAAAGAGGATCATGTCAGCAACTTGAAAATGTAGTGTTGTTAAAATGCAGTAAAATGGCTTGATCCTGGTCAACTTATATTTCAGTATGCCTTTGGAAAAATAACTGATATTGCCATTTGCTTCCCTCTGAAGAATATTTACTTTGTTGTTTGATAGAAATATCTACAACCTTAGGCATAAAAACTGGTGAAACTGCAAGTGTTTCAAGGTGGTCCTTTATTCCATTATTTTCAGAAGGAGACACTTTCATGTGCATATAAGTGTTTATATGGAAATTGAGTTTTAACAGATTCTACTTCAAACCAACCTGTGTCATACCTGCCAGAGTGGCATATGGACAGAGCTGGCCCAAGACATTCTCTGGTCAATACAGAGGACAAATCCAGTTACTGCGAGTTATGTCACTTACTGTTCAAAGAGAATCAGGTATCAATTGGTATAGTCAGTTATTTTTACTAGTACTCCCTCCATTTGCTTTCACTTTTTTCTGCTACCTTGAGTTGGGTTGCTTCTCCTAGAAGTCCTTCTCAGCTACTTTGGCTATTTCCTTGCCAGATTTCTTTTTTTCCTGTTACATTAGCTCCGGTTAGACAGTTGTGACTGCTTGTTTTGGTTCAGATCAAAAGGTTCTTCATGGCCTCTGTGAATACACACAATAGGGTTTTGACAGTGCCTGCACTGGTCCTCTTGGAATCTTCTAGAGCTTTTGTAGAAAAGTAACAAAGTTTAGAGTTGCCCCTGTCTCGCATGCTCCACCCACCTCAGCCTTCAGTTCCATTTTACCGCCTTTGGGCTTGTAACCTCTCGATCTTAGAGCTCTCTGATTTGACATATATTTCTGGATTACTACTACTGACGCGGACTCCCTCTGACTATTCAGTTTCTCTGTTGCCTTTAATAATAACAGACTGTTTGACTGTTCTTTGCTTCATGATTTGGACTTGGTATCATGACGCACTACAAACTAGACCTTCGGGCCAACCTTCATGACGCACTACAAACTAGACCTTCGGGAGCTCTCTGATTTGACATATATTTCTGGATTACTACTACTGACGCGGACTCCCTCTGACTATTCAGTTTCTCTGTTGCCTTTAATAATAACAGACTGTTTGACTGTTCTTTGCTTCATGATTTGGACTTGGTATCATGACGCACTACAAACTAGACCTTCGGGCCAACCTTCATGACGCACTACAAACTAGACCTTCGGGCCAAGAAGGGTGTCACTGTTCAAAGAGAATCAGATATCAATTGGTATAGTCAGTTATTTTTACTAGTACTCCCTCCATTTGCTTTCACTTTTTTCTGCTACCTTGAGTTGGGTTGCTTCTCCTAGAAGTCCTTCTCAGCTACTTTGGCTATTTCCTTGCCAGATTTCTTTTTTTCCTGTTACATTAGCTCCGGTTAGACAGTTGTGACTGCTTGTTTTGGTTCAGATCAAAAGGTTCTTCATGGCCTCTGTGAATACACACAATAGGGTTTTGACAGTGCCTGCACTGGTCCTCTTGGAATCTTCTAGAGCTTTTGTAGAAAAGTAACAAAGTTTAGAGTTGCCCCTATCGCGCATGCTCCGCCCGTCTCAGCCTTCAGTTCTATTTTACCACCATCGTGCTTGGAACCTCTCAGTTAGAGCTCTCTTTATAAAAATCTTCTAACTAAAAAATCGGCTTTGAACTCAGACTGCCTTTTGACTCTGAAACTCCTCTGTAGCCCCTTAATCATGGACTGTCTTTGAACACTCTTTGGATTGTGGATTGCCCTTTCTTCCTGCGCTTTCAACCGCCGCGATTGTTGATTGTTGCCGCCGCTCTTGTTGATTACCGCTGCGGTGTCCTAATCATCTTCTTCTGAAGCCTATTATAGTCGGAAATCACCTCCTCTGTTCTACAGCAATGGTCCTCCTTCCGGAAGAGTGAGCTTGCTAGTCACCCTTTTGTGTGCATTCACAGAGGCCACGATGAAGAAAGACAGGTTACTTACCTGTAACCATGGTTCTTCAAGTGCACCTCTGTGAATTCAAACATTCCACCCAGCCTCCCCACTATCCGTCACTGACTATGTCTTTGATAAGCTCAGACTATTGTGGCAGATAAATGGAACTGAAGGCTGATGCGGGTGGAGCATGTGCGATGGGGCAACTCTAAACTTTGTTACAAAAGCTCTAGAAGATTCTGAGAGGACCAGCACAGGCGGTGTCAAAACCATATTGTGTGAATTCAGAGGTCCACTTGAAGAACCATGGTTACAGGTAAGTAACCTGTCTGTTCCTTTGTTGCCCCTATCTCCAGCACAAGGGACCTGGATCTGAGTTGGTTGCACCTACTCACTTGGAGGTTGTGAGACTAATTCTGAAAAATCTGGATTCTAGGATAAAAATCTTATCTTCCTCTAGATGTCCACCTGGAAAGCTTTCACTTACTGGTTTAAGAGGAATAACGCGGATTGCCACTGTTCCTATTCTTTTGAGCTTGTATGGACATGGGTTTCAACTTAACTCTCTTAAAAGATAACTAGCTGCACTTTCATCAGTGTTGTTGACAACTAGACCTATGTCAGTTCCTTCACATCTATTCATGAAACTGGTTCTAAGACAGGTGCTTTTTCTATCACCTCCCAACAGATTTCCTACTAGGAATTTGAACATTCTGCCAAGATCACCTTTCAGTCTTGGATAAGAAGCAGTTGTCTCTCAAAGTAGCTTTTTGAGTAGGGAATGAGTTTGCATTTTTTTATGATGATTATCATGTGGTGCTACAATTAAATCCTTCTTTTGTATCTAAATAATTCATCTCTTTATGTGTCTCAAGATTTATGCTGCTTTCTTTTTTGCCCAAACCTGGATATATATTTTTGTCCAAACCTTGTACTTACAGTACATATTTCTAGCACTAGCTTCTTCTGAAAGTCAAATGTAGATGTTACCAATTTGATGAGAAAAACAAATTATCCTGTTACACCTTAACATGCTGGATTAAGACATGTATAAATGTAGTTTATGACTCAGCTAGTGCTGTTTCCCCAAAATTGGGCTGGACATTCAATTAGATCACTGGCAACATCAGTGGGTTTTTCTACAAATGCTTCTCTGCTTGAGATTTCTAGAGCTACAATATGGAGTATGCCCTTTTTGTTTCATATTACTGTATATTATAAGACAGATGAATTAATTCCTCTTGCTTCAAAATGTGTTTTCCATGTGATTGTTTTCAGTATTCCCTCTATTTATTAAGGAGTCTTGGGAATGCCCTGCAATGACTGGACTCTTCCTCTACAACATGGAATGTTGGTTACTTAGAGTGAGAGTGTTCTGAGATGGTGCAGAAGAGCAATCCACACCCACCTTCATGGTGGTTAATATTTATTCTTCTCAATCAATTCAGTTGGCTGTTCATGTGGTTCCTCAGCAGTTTCAGTCTTTATCTCTTTCTTCTATTAGACTGTTGTCTATCATGTTTTTGACAGTGTTTTTTTTAGTTACTGGCTCTTGCATTGCTTGAATGTATGAGAAAACTAAAAGGAGAAGTGGATCAGCGAGCAGTGTCATTTAAAAGAACTGAGTGTACTTTTTTTCTTAAAATATAATATTCCTGAATGCTTTGATCCTGGATAGCATCTAGGGCTTAAACTGCTTTAACCTGTATTATCTTTTTTTCCAGGCCCATATAAATTTCTACTACCTTCATTTCACTTGTCAGCACCAAGATCCCCTAAAGGATTCTTGATGGTCATACAGAGAGGGTCCAGGCGTATGTGCACTCCTAATTAGCTGAGCAGAGTCCGGGCAACCCAGTCAGGCAGTGACACAAACCCTTTTCCACAAGTCTGTTTTAATAAGTAATTAAGAGAGAGGGGGAAAAAAAGATAAAATCATGAGCTTTGGAGTCTGCCAGGACGAACAAAGCTCAGGCAAAAAGGCCTCTAGTAGCATTCTGTGGCCCTTCTATTATTCTGGAAGCAGGCTCAGCAGATTTGCTGTTCATACAGAGAGGGTCCAGGCGTATGTGCACTCCTAATTAGCTGGGCAGAGTCCGGGTAACCCAGCCAGGCAGTGACACAAACCCCTTTCCACAAGTCTGTTCTAATAAGTAATTAAGAGAGAGGGGGGAAAAAGATAAAATCGTGAGCTTTGGAGTCTGCCAGGACGAACAAAAGGGGGAAAAAAAGATAAAATCATGAGCTTTGGAGTCTGCCAGGACGAACAAAGCTCAGGCAAAAAGGCCTCTAGTAGCATTCTGTGGCCCTTCTATTATTCTGGAAGCAGGCTCAGCAGATTTGCTGTTCAAGAGACCAAATGTAGGATTTTAAGAATAATTGTTTTATTAGAAAAATAAAGTATTTAGAGTTATTCAGTTTGTTGCATAAGCAAAGCATAAGTCACATTTCCATAAGGTATTGCAGTTAGAATCTTAACAAATTCCATCTAACAAAAATGAAATAAAGGTTCTAAAAAGCTGCTTGGAAGGCAGGCAAGGCATAGCGCCCCTTCCTTTGTTCTTTCTCTAAACTACATCTTAGCAAAACCCCCCTTCCCCTGTTCTTTCTCTAAACTACATCTTAGCAAAACACTAAAAACTGGCATCTATAACTCAATCCTCCATTCTAGTTCCTAATTCTCAGATCAGGTCTAGTCTAGTCAAGTCTACAGTTTTTTATTCCTGTCCACATCCTCCATTTTCTTCCTTATTGGTACCGCCCTTCTTCTCCATTCTTCCAAGATGCTAGCCAATAGGGGTAAAGGACAGTCTCCCCTCATCACGCCTCCAGTTCCCATGAGAAGTACTGTACATGTGTTGTTTTCCCATCTCCTTGTCTCGGGTCTTGATGCAAAAAAGGGTGTTGTGTCTTGGCTCTTTATCATCTCAGGACAAGGCTGCTTACATAGAACTTTCCATTCACCTCGTGGAGAAAACATTCTCATGGCACAAAATCATGCTAACACAGAACCAATATGGATTCTTTCTACAACTTTCCATGACTACATATCCCATTCATAATTCACATTTTAATCTTAATAATCTATACCATGACATCACTGTTTTTTATTTATTTATTTATTTGTTTACTAGGGCGCCTTATTTCAGTTCAAAACATTGTGTTGAGTACCCTTTAATATTGACTTCTTAACTTTTTTTCAGACAAGAGATTCCTGGTGGTGCTGAGATTGACTTAGTTCTACAAGAAGCTTCACTTTCACGTTCAAATCCAGATTTACAGAATGCATCCTTCTATGAATCTGCTGTGTGGGAATCTGAAAATGAGGAACAGCGACATGTTACAGTTCATTTTGTTAAACATGATGATCTTCTTCAAGAAGCAGGAGACAGTTTGATTCTCATAGAAGGTTAGCTAATTCAGCTAAGTATATTTGATAGCATATTATCAATAGTAGGCCATAATCCTTGTGAAGAGATCCAGGACTTAAATCCAGGAAGCCAAGTTGAGAGCATCTGGGTAAGAATTAAGGGGAAGAGAAACAAGAGGGATGTAATTGTGTTTTCGATGTGATTGGATCCCCCAAGCCAGCCTGCAGAGTTGGATGATGCCTTCCTATAGCAGATGGCCACACATTCAAAAGGGAGAGATGCAGTAGTAATGGGAGATTTCAACTATCCCGATATATGTTGGCAGTCAAACTCTGCCAAGAACATGAGGTCCAGCAAATTCCTCACTTGCCTTGCAGATAATTTCATGGTCCAGAAGGTGGAAGAGGCAACAAGGGGATCAGCTATTTTAGATCTGATCTTAACCAACAGGGACGACCTTGTTAATGGGGTTGAGGTGGTGGGACCCTTAGGTGGGAGTGACCATGCTCTCTTGGAATTTATTATAGAGTGGGAAGCCAAGTGCAGCCAGACACATATTCTAGACTTTAAGAAGGTCAATTTCAGTAAACTTAGGGAATTACTGGCTGTAATTCCACAGACAAAGATACTGAAAGAGAAGGGAGTTCGGGATGGATGGGAATTTCTTAAAAGGGAGATACTAAAGGCACAATTTAAAAGTATTCCAATAAGAAGGAAAAATGGGAGATGTCTGAGGAAACCAGAATGGTTGACTAAAGAACTTTCAACTGAACTAAGTGTTTAAAAAAAAATGTACAAGAAATGGAAAAATGGGGGAAACACCAATACAGTGGTGCTTCGACTTACGAACTTAATTGGTTCTGGAAGATGGTCGTAACTCGAAATGGTTGTTACTCGAAGCACCATTTCCCATAGGAATGTATTGAAATGCAATTAATCCATTCGGACCAAAGAAAAAATCACACACACACCCCAAAAAAACACTGAAAGTCTCCTCCAGCACCACAATTCGAAAAGATAAATTCTTCAGCAGTCAGCCTTCTTTATGGTCCAGCTCTCACTTCCATACATCGCTACTGGAAAAACCATAGCTTTGAGTATGCCAGACCTGGGCAAAGTGTGGCCCGCGGGCCACATACAGCCCGAGAACCGCTCCTGTCCAGTCCGCTGGTCGTCACTCCAGTCCGGCCCACCCATCGCTGCTCCTGTCCAGTCTGCCCCGTCGCTGCTGAGTGAGCCGGAGCTCTGGTTCCAGTCACGCGGCATGGCATTAAGCAAAACTCGCGCTACCCGACGCTGGGATCTTGCGAGTTTTGACTGTTACTCTTGAGCTGCAGACTGCGGAGCCTGCGGCTCGAGAGGCCGGAAGCAATCTTTGCACAGGCGACGTGATGACGCATCATGTCGCCTGTGTGGGATAGAAGACAGTCGGAGAGGAAGGCCACAGGGGAACGAAGGACAGATGAGTTAGCTCAGTGTTGGGTTTTTTTTTTCTTCCCCCCCCCCACGGTGAACAAATTACAACGGTCACATAATTACCTCCCTAAAAAGTTTAGGGAGATAACTATATCAGCCTAGTAGTTCATTTACCGCAGAGCCTCACCCAATGAGGGCCTATTACTACCCACAAATTGAGGGCCTATTACTACCCACCCACAGTTCAGATTTTTCATGTCATCCCCTATAGAAATTAATTGCCCACCCCTGGACTATGTGAACCTTTGTCAGCAAGGTGATGTCTCTGCTTTTTAAGATGCTG